GAACCCAAGTTTCGATTCGGGATTCCCCGGAAGAGAATACACTTATCCGACAATTAAGGAAGCCCCTGGCGCCGCCGCGAAGCACGATCGCGGCGGAGAAATCTTCGGGCTTCCGCGCACGTTTCACGATGATTTTTGAAATCCCGCAAAGAAGTCGCGACGAGGGGTGCAGTAGGGCGGGGGGACGGGGACGAAGAAAACGGTGGAGACGCTGCGAGGCTCGACCGCCACGTACAGCGAAGGGTTCGTTCCCAAGAGACACGGCGTTCCTTGTTGCCCATTTGGCCCGGAATCACTTCCAGCCGGATAGGCCGTGGAACGGACAGCAGGACCAAGGTGGCCTAATCGCGTTTGCACGGCCAATCCGACCCTTAAACCACGCGCGATGGAGCAGCCGGTCTCTCTCCTCCCGGCTCTTTCTTCCTCCCCCCCCTCCACTCTTCTCTCTCTCTCTCTCTCTCTCTCTCTCTCTCTCTCTCTCTGGGTTAATCTGTTTCTACTTCTCTCTTCGGAGCGGGTCCGCCGTTCGTCCGGCAAAGTGCGCAATCCCGCGTCGTTCGTTTAATTTTTAACAACGCGTCGTCCACTGGTCGCGCGCGCGCGCGCGGCCGCCTTCCACTCCTGAAATTACGTCGGACGTGTCCCGCGAGCGGCGCTACGTGGCGCTTTCAAAAAGAGCCGGAGAATTAGAGATGAGACGGGCCGAAGTGCCGCGTAATCGCGCACGCGGAAAACGTGATCAGCTGCGTGCTCGGTTTGTTTAGCGGCCGATATGAAGTCAATCTTGAAGATTGAGAAATCGCTCGCGGAGTGATCTCGACGTTACTCCGTGATTGGACGCGCTTCTCGCGCCGGTGAAGGATTAATTCTCCGTCTCTTACGACACCGGTTGATTTTATTAGCGCCACTGAAGACGCCTAGGTGTTCTTCTTGGGAGGAGGGAGAACAAAAAACTGAATGAGGTGCCGCGCGATGCCAGCGCGCGCACGAGAGAGAGGAGGAGGGAGAAGGGAGGGAGGAGGGAGGAGAGAGAGAGAGAGACAGAGAGAGAGAAAGAGAGAGAGACGTGATGAGATCACGAAGGCTCGACGTTTCTCGCGAATGAGATCTGCTCGTCGGGGCGAGGCCTCTCGCGTGAAAAGTATTCCGAGGGAATACGGCGGGAGGGAGGAAAGGGTAGAGACGTTATCGAGGCGACGGATAGATCCTGGAAAGAAAAGTTGCCTTCCGCTCGGCCGGAGTAACGGGTCGAGGTATCTAATCGAGATATCTCGATCCACGCTCCGTACGCTCGAGCGACCTTCGACTTCCGTAGGACCGAGGGGCAAACGAGGAGCGAAATCCATGGCGCGTAAATTTTCAACCCCCGATCCACTTCGGGCCCGCTCGAGGGAGGCGGAGGAAGAGGAGGAGTAAGAGGAGACGTTCTCGGGAAACTGTTCGAGGATGCACTCTCGAGCGTGAATTTCCTCGACTCTTGCGACATGCGAGGTATCGGGGGACGGAAGAAGGACAGATGGATGGATATGGAGTGATGAAGAGAGAGAGAGAGAGAGAGAGAGAGAGAGAAAGAGAGATGTACCACCGATACCGGGAAAAGGGAGAAGCGCCGGCGTTCTGGAACGCGTGAGCAAAAGGAACGAGAAAAGACGAGAAGGAGAGAATCTGTCTCGATCGAATCGACTACGAGAGATTGCCGCTTGTCTTCCGGCGAGGAACGAAACGAAAGACGCAACGCACCGAGTCTACGCGCGCATAAGAAATGAACCATCTCGGAGAACATCTCGGAAACCCTCCCTCGTCCCGACGGCGCACGCCGTGCGCCAACGCGCGCGCTCGCGTCCCCTGCCGAGACGAAATCCGCGAAGAAGGGCTGCGCGTTTGCCGGTCTTTCCAACACACCGACCGAAAGATCGGCGACCGCGAGGGACCGAGATGGACAGCTCCAAGTATCAAGTATTCATCTGCCATCTCGCTGTCCTTATTCACCGTCGGCCGTGGAATCTTTGGGATTCGAGCGCGGGCTGGCGAACCGCCGGAATTCGCCTGATGCATAGTCGATCCCGCGGCGGTTGCCGAGCGGATGCTGAAGAGCAGGATGCACGTGGTGGGTCTCAGCCCCTCCGGGTATCGCCCGCCCGTCGGTTGGTTATGCGGGCGGACGAGCTTCTCGAGGGGGACCGAGAGAGAGAGAGAGAGAGAGAGAGAGAGAGAGAGAGAGAGAGAGAGAGAGAGAGAGAGAGAGAGAGAGAGAGAGGAGGAGGGAGAGAGCGAGAGGCGAATCTTCGGAGGGTAGAAGAGCGGAAAGTCAAATTTGCTCATGATAATGCCGGGAATTTCTCACGGAAAAGTGGAAACTGTTTGCCCCGCGTCGTCTTCTCACTGTTGTCCCGCCGATGCGTTCTCGCTGTTGGCGTATGAAATTTTGCGAGGAGGACGGAGAGAAAGAAAGAGAGGGGGAGAGGGAAAGGGGGAGAGGGAGAGAGAGAGAGAGAGGGAGAGAGAGAGAGAGAGAGAGAGAGAGAGAGAGAGAGAGAGGAGGAGAGCTGGAATTAGAGAAGAAGAGGGACGGAGAAGATCAGCTCCGCTCGGTTTCGAGCAGGAGGACTCTCTCGGCGAGGGATTTATCTCGCTCGACGTTAGAAAATCGTTATCCCACATCGCGTGACGAACAACGAGTTAGGCGCGCCATGCGAGCGGATGACGAACGTTTATGCGTTTAATGCGTATTAAGCGAGACACGACGAGTCGATAAAACCGGCGCGCGGAATTTTGACGAGCTATAGCCTGTCGAGGTGCGGTGAAGGGGGTGGGGGAGAAGGCAGGGAATTGCGACGCGAGTTGAATGAGAATCGGAAACTTCGCTTCTCTATCGCCGTCAGATTAGTGCCGCTCTAACGGACTTTGCTTTAAGTTTAAGGAAAAGATCGGGCGCGAGCTTCCGAGGCGGTGGGTAAACACGAAGCTTCGACGAAGCACTTCCAAGACGATTATCGAATGCGGAACAATGACCGTCTTCGAGTTGCTCCTTCCTGTTGGGACTGGAACCGGCGGAGCGAACACTTTATTCTACTAAACGGCGCGCGCGCAGTTACCATACTTTTCGACAATCCTGCGAGATTTCAGGCTGGCGCAGTTAAAGTGATTAGAATTTAACGAGCGTGCTGATGATACGCGCAAGGCGTATCCGTCAAAGCTCTCGCGACGAGCACAGACATTGGCGATTACACGAATGAACCGACGATCGAATTTCAATGATTTCCCCTTGAAGAAGGAAAAGAAGATTTTACTATTGAAACGTCTATCAAGACGTTTATGGAGGGATAAGCGCGAAAATGGAAGCACGAACACGTTTCGTTTTCGGAAAATGGCGCTCGTTCGCGGTCCCCGCTATCGTACGGTTAATTTCACTCGCGGGAGAAGGGAATTGCCCCCTCTCGATACTTGGAACATGCTCAACGATCAATTATTAAAATCCCGGCCGAGGAAAAGACATAAGTCGCCGCGCGCACGCGCGCGCGACGATCGTTGCCACGATCGTTAGCCTCCCCCGTTCGTCCGCGTCGCATGCCGCGCGATATCGCTCTTCCGGGAAAGCCGCGGGCTCGATAAAACACTCCTCGCGGCCCGCTCGAATTCGCGCGCAGCGCGGCCTGGCCGCGCTATATAAATATCGAAAATGGTGGAGCAGCCAGAATCGTGATAAACGGCCCGAAATTTCTCCGATTCTCTCCCTCTCCCTCCGTCGTCCAGAATCCGGCGAGGCCTCCTCCGCTCAGCGCTAGCAAAGCGTGAAGCTACACGATCGACCATGACAGAAAAGTTGGTGTGAGCGTCTGATGCAGTGGCAGCGACGCGCGCACACCGAAACGGACACACACATAGGCGAGCAAGTGGCTACGAAAATTCGATGCCCGAGGGAACGGCTGAGTTAAAGGTACCGGGAGTACCATAAATCCGTTTAAATTGCAACGACGACCCTCGATCCGGAGAGATCGGACGAGCCGCTGCTCGTGAGCAATTATCCATCAGCCTCTTGCAGTTAGGCGGTTCGCCTTGCGCGGCCACCTCGCCTTCGCGCCTTGGCATCTTTTCGTGAGCCGTACGAATCGTGAGCGCGGAAATCTCGATACGCGCTTGAAAGGCGAGCCGATGGAAAAACGCGATACTCGACGCGGTATCGCGCGATAGCGACGATAGCGCGCTGCGCGAGATCCTACCACCGTCCATCTCTTCTGGGCTCTTCTGGGCTCTAGCAAAGCCCAGCGTCGTGACGCGCGAAACTCGCGGATCCAACACGAGGAGGATGAACACGGCCGCGCGGCCGACCGTTTATCGGTCGGCTGTTGCGCGTTTTATAAAGCGAGGTGGAAGTGAAAATGACGGGGGAGGTGGGGGGGAGGAAGAATGCCGCGGTCGTCGCGCGGCCGAAGCTTTGCTTCTCGCGTTTTTACGATTCGCTACTTATTCACCGCGCGCGCTCCGGACCGGTCGAACGTGCGCTCGCCGGACCCGGCGAGCGGCACGTTCGAGAGTCGCGCAAGCACGCGTGCGGAAACGATAAAACAAATGTCGTAACGCGGTAATAAAACGGTCACGTCTCCTCGGTCGGACGAACGGGAGAGCGAGTAATGGCGCGGCGTTTGTTTCGTCGCGACGCGCGAGAAAAGCGAGACGAGCGATAAAATTTGCATAACACAGCGGACGTTCTCGAGAAACTCGACGCTCGCGTCTCGGGGCACGCTCGACGATTGTCCGGGCGCGAGTTTCTCGAAAGGGCTGTCAATGATCCTTCATCGACGGGCGGAATTAGAGAGACGCCTCCGAGCGGAGTCCGAGAGAGAGACAACGACGTCGTGAAAGGCCGTCTTTCCGCACACGAGTGTAAGAAACGCAGGAAATTCAGAACGCAAGCTGGCGATTCAGATCGCACGCGGTTAACGCGCTTTACGCTTTCGATCGCGTTCTCGTAATTGAGTGTGTATATGAGTCAAACTTACCACCGGAAACGGTGCTGTAGGAAACGGACGAAAATTCGAAAGGTCTGGAATTCTTACCTGCAACATAGCAAAGTAAAGGATTATCGCTATTAACGTAGCCATTAATTCTCCAACACTGCCGTAATAACGTCTAAAAAACACGTTGAAAGTTAACACATTCAGATATACGCACACACACACACACACACACACACACGCGCGCGCGCGCGCATACACATTCGTAGGTGCACAAGAGACGCGCGCTTCTGAAAGAGGCAAGTAGATAAAACCGTAGCCGGGCGGACCTCGCGAGCGCGGCCGTATCGCCGTCGACTCGAGTCTGACCATCACACGGTCCGCTGCGAATCGGCAGGAAGAGCGTTACCCGATTCTTCTTTCTCCGCTTCCTCTCTCTCCTCTCGCTCGGTTCCGCGACCGCGAGTCGTTCGCAAGAAACTCACCGGGAGATGCTTAAAAAGCTGAGGCTAAGTGCAGCTACACGTAAACGACGGGCAAATCGCCGTCGGTGTGGAGATTTTCCCAGTTCGAACGTTATAAGCATTAGAAATAAAAGGCTAAAGGAAACGCCAAGTCTTATCAGTTGCCCACGACCTTCGTCACACACAATTATATTCAAAGTAAAAAATAAAAAGGAAAAAGGAAACGTCCGAGACGGTTGTCCGCGATCTTGATCATTTATCGCGAACCGTCGCTAAAGAATTCGAGTTTGGCATTTTATTTACTTTGTACGCCTGCAAAACGTTCCTTCGCAAGTTCCTCCGCGGACTCGAGCGGACTGCAAAAGGCGATGCACCACGTAAAAGGGGATTCAGAATCCCTGGTTAACGCCTTATTGCGGCGGATGAGTGCATCCGCAGCTTGTCCGGCGTGATTCCGACGGAGTCACGATCGCGCGGGCGCAATTAGAACGTGCGATCGGAGCGTGTCAGCTCGCTGCTGAAAGAAACGACGGAGGAGTAGGTCGCGGTGCGCTTAATTAAAAGGAGAAAATAGACCGAAGGAAGAAAGACTCGCGCGGCGAAGATGGGCAAGGCGAGAGACGAGGCAAGGCAAGGCAAGGCAAGGCAAGGCAAGGCAAGACGAGGGAAGATGAGGCAAGGCTAGTCGACAGACGGGCAGGAAGGAAGGAAGGAAGGAAGGAAGGATGGAATGAAGGAAGGCAAGAATAGAGCAAAAGAAGAACGAGGAGGAGGGCCGCTCCTCCAGCCACCAGCTGCAACCTGTTGAATTCGGAGATACGGAGAGAGAGAGAGAGAGAGAGAGAGAGAGAGAGAGAGAGAGAGAGAGAGAGGGAGAGAGAGAGAGAGAGAAAGGTAGAGAGAGAGAGAGAGAGAGAGAGAGAGAGAGAGAGATGGGGAATATCACGGGCACCGTCCATTTGGCAACTTCGAATTGCCATGAAATTGTTTTACTACTTCGCACACGCCCGCCGTCTTCCACAATGCAGCGGCGCGATCGCGTCGAGCGGCTGGAGTGTAATTACGGCGCGCTAAATCGCGGGGGAAGCGCCGATCGAGCGTCGCGACGTCATGTTTGACGACCCCTACCTGGAAAATCGCACCTCGAGCTGCATCAAGCGAGCAAACTCACAGCCGAGATGTACAACGAATGGGATGAACGTGTGACGAATCCGAAATGAATTCCGGTCAATCGGTGATGGTATTGGCGGTGGGTGACGGGTCACTTGCCGATGAGCTCGAAGAAAGCGCTAGGACGCGCACACATGGCGATCGATTCGAATCGGATTTTTTTACGACCGCGAGCGCGACCTTTTTCCTACGCTGGGGCACGCTGCAACTCGGCGTAAAGAGATATCCCCGCGGATTGTCGTACATGCGACGTGACTTTTTATAATCAACGCACGCGAATCGCGATTTGTGATTTATCGGGCCGTACCGGTTCACTGAAGCTCCAAAAGTCCGAGGGACCGAGCGATTTATTTCAGTCGCGTAAATCAATCATTTGGCCGAGCCCGATGATTTACAATCGACGCGATTTTTATGTCGCTCGTCAGCCGTATTTTTCCGGAAAATGCGTAATCGCAGGAACAGAGAGAGAGGGAGACAGAGAGAGGGAGATAGAGAGAGAGAGAGAGAGAGAGAGAGAGAGAGAGAGAGAGAGAGACAGGGAGAGAGAGAGAGAGAGAGAGGGAGAGAGAGAGAGAGAGAGAGAGAGAGGGAGAGAGAGAGAGAGAGAGAGAGAGAGAGAGAGAGAGAGAGAGAGGAAGAAGGGGAGGGGGAGACAGAAAGAACAAGGAGAAATAAACCGCGGGGTAAATCCAGGCGGGAGAGTACATCCGACAGCCAAGAACGGCGCAAGGACAAGGGCAGCCAGTTTCTTCCATCAGCCGTTCTCTCCGCGTCGTTCTTCTCGCGGCGCGAGAAAACGGGTCCGAGCCCACTCTCTCACACTCTCCGTCCCGAGGACGCATTCCCCCCCTCCTCTCTCTCTCTCTCTCTCTCTCTCGCTCGCCAGATCCGATGAAGGAGAGTCCGCCTGGCGTTTAAACGCCTCGACGACGGCTATCTCGCGCCGCCAAGGAGATCTTTCGGTCCGAGACATGAAATCCTGGTGCGCGGCGGCAATCGCGTCGCGCGGATCGCGAGACGGCGCGCCGTCTGCTGCTTAACAAGCCCCGATGAGACCTGGCCAACAAAGCTCTATTTAAGATTTCCGGACAGACACGTCGAACGCAACTCCTTCTTCCCGGACAATTAGTCCACAGCGGGAGCTTTTCGCACGCGCGGAGGAAAAATCGCATCCGCCGATCGAGCAGATAGGAAAGTCGCCGATCCAGCCGAGGCTCTCTCGGGCTCAACGCAACGACGCGTGACAAGGACAAGGCGACGGGGGTAAGAAACGGGGGAAAAAGAGAGAAAGGGAAAGAGAGAGAGAGAGAGAGAGTGCAACGACCAAGCGGGCACGTGGCGGCGCAGCGCATAACGTAAGCGCACAAAGCGGGAACGTCGCGGCGACGACGAAAGGTGGGAGGCGAGCCCACTCTTGCGCATTCCGCGGTTTCAAGGCTGAGGTCAAGGCACACCCGAGTAGCCGTCGTCGTCTGGAGCACCGAGCGTCAACTTTCAGACCGCCGCGCTTGCGGCGGAAGCGCGTCGAAGAGTCTCGCCGTTGTCGTCATCGTCGCGATCGCGATCCGCTCCGCACCGGCCGAGACGCAGAACGGCGGAGGTCGCGCGGAATACTCAAACGGAGACGATAAGAGCGACGTGCTGATTAAAACTACAAGAGTGACGCGGATGCGCGCCGGGTGAAAAAGCTCGATCGAGCGCGCGCAAGCGGAGGAGGCGGACGGGAAATTTCCATCGCGGCGTTGTCCGGAGAGCGAGCGGCAGCGACGGTCGATTTGGGGCCGCGGAGCGGATTGATACGGCGATATCTATGCAACAAGATTGACGTAAACGCGCGTTACGCACGATATAGCCCGCAGCGGCCGACGTCGGTCGACGCTCCTGTTTCGGCCCCGACGTCCGCTTCCGGCCGGATGCGATAGGGATCTGTTGTTCGGCCGTTTCACGCTCGCTGCGTACGCCACGATTCTACCATTTTCCCCCGCGATCCCTTTTCCCTGCTCTTTTACGACCAAAGAGAGATGTATATCCGCGCGACGGCCGCGCGCGCGCGTAAAATGGAAGAAAGTGGATTGAGCGGCGCGGAAGTTCGCGGAAAGTCGATTAAGCCGGGGTGCGGTCTCGCGCGCGCCGCAACCGCCGCGCCGCAGCCCTCTGCGGCGGGCTGACGAGCGAGATTGCGCGGCGTGAGATCGTCCGAGAGAGACGGCGAGACGAGCGGGGAAACGGAGGAAAGAAAAGTAGTCCGCTATATGGCATCTTGAGCGAGGGAATATCGAGGGTCGCGAGTGAGCGCACACACGGAGGTTGCAGAAAGAGGGAGAGGGAAAGAGGGGGAGAGAGAGAGAGAGAGAGAGAGAGAGAGAGAGAGAAAGAGAGAGAAATCGGAGTTTTGTACAAAGTGGAAACCACTCCGAGATAAGAAGGTTTTTCCGCGGGAAATTTGCATACGCGGTAAGCTTTTCACTTCGTCGCCGGGTCGGACGTTTTTGCCCGGCCGCGGCGCGGCGCGTAAGACCGTGACGACTCCTCGCGGAGAAACGGAGCGGACACGAAGAGGCGCCCTCGTTCTCGTCCAGATTTAGGCGGCTCGAGTGAGGTCTCGATAAAAAATGGGAGAAGTTTAAGGAGGATGTCGAACGATCGATTCCAACTCCCGTCGGCGGAGCGCGAGCCGACGTCGGAGAGAATAAAAGTTTCCGCGGAGAAACGAGCAGCGGGTATACACGATGTGCATATGGAAATACAGATCTTAAACGAGAAAGTTCGAGTAACTGATTTGGGAAAAGGAAGACGGAACGGCGTTTCTTTCCGACCAGAAGCCGCGAGAGAGAGAGAGAGAGTTTCGCGATAGAACAGCGCTGGATTTCTTCTTCTCCCCTCGCGCTTCGATGTCAGTTTAATCCTTTTGTCGAAAACGAAATAAGAATGTTCACGGAATTATTAACGCACCCTCCCCTCGCCCCCGTGCGCGGATAGGAATATAATTTGGACAACGCAAAGATCGAATGTTCTCTCTCACTCTTGCGCGCAGTTGAACCGCGGCGAAGAAACAACCGATGAAATTGTCAACGAGCTCTTAATAAATGACGCCGCCGTCAGTGTCGTTATATTCTCTCTTTCTCTCTCTCTCTCAGTCTTTCTCCTTTTTTCGTTTCCACAAAGTTCTCGTCGAAGTACGAAGAAAATGCCTCGTGACGCGGCGGCAAACAACATTTCTAAAGAGAGGATCGAAGGACAACCGATAAATTTCCTGGTAGCAAATTTCCGGCTTGTACTTGTTAATTTCTTTACGGAAGAAACGACGGGAAGACGAAGAACGATTTCCACCGCGAGGGAACCTCCCGAGAGGGAAGCTTACGCCGTAGTTCGGAGAAGTTTCTGATATCTTCTCAATAATATATCGAGAGGCGTTCTCGAAATTGATCTCTCTCTCTCTCTCTCTCTCTCTCTCGCGATCGCGATTAA